AAAAAAAAAAAAAAAAAAGAAGAAGAAGAGGGGATTAGAACACAGGTACATAAAAAGGGAAGGACATGTGAAGACACAGAGAGAAGAGGGCCATCTTCACGACAAAACCCCAGCCATGCTGACACCCTGATCTCAGAATTCTAGACTCCAGATCTATGAGAAAATAAATTTCTGTTATGGCAGCGCTACCAAATGGACAACAATTATCATTTAGTTATCTAGTGAAAAATGGAACATTTATTGTACAGAGAAAAAAATGTAATCTCCAATTAAAGGGGACCCCTTCTTTCATGAGTTTTCCTGGAACACTAAAAGAATTTGGGAAATACATAACCCTTATGCAGCCACACTATTATCTCTAGATAGCTTGTATGCTCTTTATATATTACATACTGAGTCATTAATTATAATTAAAAAGTTGAGGCTACTGAGTTCCCCACCAGTGGAAACATTCTCACCATGGCTGGACCTCCACTTTGTAGAGACAGCATAACTAGACCTGATGCATGCACCGAAAGCTGCACATTTTTCAGATTCCTTCAACTTTAAGGTTCATTAATTTCCCTAGGTAGAGTTGCTAGCTTCTGTAGTGTAAAATTAATTCCCCAAGTAATCTGGTTTTGCTGAATTTCTGATTCAAGGTAGAATGCTTTTGTTCTATTTTTATTCAATTTTGAGGAAAATCATTTCAAGTTTTAGGGCCTCTTGATTCTTCACATTACCCATAAAGATGACTTCAAATGTTATCTTTATTTTCCTAAAAACCTTACGGTTGGCTAAATGCAAAGTGTTTAAATAAGAACAAAACAAACAAACAGGTCTAACACTTGAAGCAATTGTGTGCCCATCTAAAAGGAGGAACTACGCTGATTTACTTGCAAATTTAAATAAATGAAAGTTATTTCTAAAGTTAATATTAACTTTACTGACTCTTATTTTTAAGGAATAACGTACTTTATCTATAAGGTAGTCTTGTTTTAGAATTTTTTTAAAGTTATATTTTTTATAGAAACTGTATCATTAAGAAGTTTTAAAAGCATGAAACTTTCTTGTCTACTTTGCAACCCAGAATTAGCATTTTTCATAGTCAACAGAAGGAAACATTTTTCTAACTGCTGGGTTTGAGGTTTTGAATTATAGACATGAATCCAATGTATGCTACTAAGATCGCTGAGGTCTCCTTATGGAAACATTCTGCTTATTGGATGGAGCAAATACCCAGCTATCCTGAGTTTGAATCAGTCGTAATGCCAATGTAAAGCACATCTCTATTTTCCTCCAGTGTCTTACCCTGTTTTCAACTTAAGCCTACCTCTGTGGGTATTCTCCACCCAGCGTTTCCCACTTCACAGGCATTTCATTCTTCAAGAATTATCCCCAAGTACTTAATTATTTTAATGGATCCAAAGTTCTGAGAATCAACCCCACATCATTAGACCATAATGATGAAGAGAAAGAAATATTCAGCTTACTTTTCCAGCAGTGCCCATCCTATCTTTCTCTTGGTTCTGTATTTCTGTAATCAGGGACTGATTTCTGACTGATACTCAGTTCCTTCTGCTGTTAATAACAGCATATTGTGCCTTCGCATAAATACTCTGCCTCAAAAGTTCTGCCTTCAGCAATATGACTCATAGCTTTCAAAACCTTTCAATGGTCCACAAGCCCCACCCTTGGCAGAGCAAGCTACGAAAAGAAATACAGTAACTATTCTGAACAGATCAAGAATGGAGCTCTAACAAGGACCAGGATACTCAAACCTATGGAAAAGGGATGAAAGTATTTCTATCAATCTTATTTTGGCGGATATAAAAACAGATTAGATTAATTCAGGTCAATATAATTCATAAAAAGTGTTTTGTATGCTGCTTAAGTGAAAAGTGTTTTTCTGGGTACAGCTGATTTTAGAGATGTGTGTGGACATTTGTCTTCATACTCTAGTCCACAAAAACATGATGTAGTTTGTGGAAAACATACAATTAGATATAAATGGCAATAGGGCCACAGAAACGTAAAGAAGTTGGAATAGGTTTGGCAAGAGAAGTTGGGGGTATATAACATACAAATATGGTATCTTAGAGTAGTTTTGGTTTGAATTTCTGTGGTGATTAATGATGATGAGCAGATCCATGTCTGAATGACTTAATAAAAAAAAAGAGAGTTAAAAAAAATAAAACCTTTAGTTTGAAATTCAAGCTAAAAAAAATACAAATATGGATGACTGTGGTTTCTTGGTATTTTAGGGATAAAAAGTTAAGTAGAACTTGTACCTACATATAGAGAAATTGTCATCTGACCTCAAATCACATCATCCACAGAGCTGTCTCATGGTTGTATAGTTTGCATATAACACAAAGATACTCAGTACATGGGCTGAAGGGGAATTGAAATCCAGTCTGCATATGAGCTCTTAAATTCCAGAGAAGATGCAATGACACTAGAATATCCTGGATATACTAACTCTTAGATTTTTTTTTCATGACAGAGTATTACTTTCACCTAGGCTGTGTCATGGCTTTAGCCTTGCTCACAGAAACCTCAAACTCCTGGGCTCAAGTGATCCTCTTGCCTCAGCCTCCAAGTAGCTGGGATTTTAGGCACCCACCACAGCTAGTTTTTCTATTTTTAGTAGAAATGAGGTCTTGTTTTGCTCAGGCTGGTCTCAAACTCCTGACCTCAAGCAACCCAGGTGCCTCGCCCTCCCAGAGTGCTAGGGTTATAGGTGTGAGCCACCATGCCTAGTCTGGATCTACTAACTCTTGACAGGAGAATGTCCAGGATAGATTTTATTTTTGACCATGGTTACTGAGTATACTAGCAACTCAATCTACACAAAGGAGGTCTTACTCTTGTGGAGTGATCCAGTGAGACAGGTTATCAGTCAAAGCTGTTCAGACTGTGAAATCTAGAACCTGGACTCTTACCAACCCAGAGAAGAAATTTGCAAAAATTTATTTTTTAGATAACATACAGAAATAAAACTATTTTTAAAAAAAATAAATATAAGCATTGCCACAAATCTCTTTCTCAATGTAATATAGTAAGTGCTAGGTCTAATTTAAAATATATTCAAAGGATCATTAGAAACTACTCTGAGCAAATATATGCCAATAAACTGGAAAACCTAGAAATGGATGAATTCTTAGACATATAAAACCTACCAAGATTGAACCAGGAGAAATCTAAAACCTAAATAAACCAGTAACAATTAATGAGGTAGAAGCAGTAATAAAAATTCCCATCAAAGAAAAGCTCAGGACCCAATGGCTTCACTGCTGAATTCTTCTAAACCTTCAAAGAAGAATTAATACCAACCCAACTTAAACTATTCCAAAAAATCGAGGAGGGGAGAATACTCCCAAACTTATGCTATAAGGCCTATATTATGTTGATATCAAAACCGCACAAATTCACACAGCAGCAATGACAACAATAAAATACTATAGGCCAATATCACTGATGAACATAGATACAAACATCCTCAACAAAATACTAACAAACTGAATTCAACAACATATTTAAAAGATTATTCATGATGATGAAGTGGGATTTATCCCAGGGATGCAAGGGTGGTTCAACATATACAAGTCAATTAATGGCATTGCTATTAATGCAGTCAATGCTATTAATGCAGTTCTTGCATTTCAACAAAACAAAGAACAAAACCACACAGTTATTTCAATTAATTCTGAAAAAGAATTTGAGAAAACTAAACATCTCTTTACAATAAAAATTGTAAAAAAATTAGATACAGAAGAAACTTATTTCAACGTAATAGAAGTCATTTATGTCAGACCCACAGACAGTATCACACTGAATGGGAAATAACCAAAAATCTTTCCTCTAAGAACCCGAACAAGACAAAGATACCCTCTTTCCCCCCAGTATTCAGAATAGTATTGGAAGTTCTAATGTGAACAACCAAACAAGAGAAAGAAGTAAAGGAAATCCAAATCAGCAAAAAGAAAGTCAAATTATCCTTGTTTTCACAAATATAATCATAGTATATCTAGAGAAATCTAAAACCTCAAAGAAAAAACCCTATTAAAACTGGTAAATAAATTCAGTAAAGTTGCAGGATACAAAATCAGTATACAAAACTCAGTAGCATTTTTATATGTCAACAGAAAACAATCTGAAAAATAAGCCAAGGAAGTAATGCATTTAAAATGCATACAAATAAAATACCTAGAAATAAACTTAACCAAAGAATTGGAACATCTTTATAATGAAAATTATAAAACACTTAGGAAAGAAATCAAGGAGGGCACAAACAAAAATGGAAAGCTATTCCATACTCAGGGATTGAAAAAATCAGTATTGTTAAAATGCCCATACCATCCAAAGCAATTTGCAGATTCAATGCAATCTCCATCAAATACCAGTGACACTCTTCACACAAATAGAAAAAAAATCCTAAAATTTATATAGAACAACAAAAAACTCAGATTAGCTAAAACTATTCTCAACAAAGAAGAACAAAACTGAAGAGTCATGTTACTTGACCTCAAATTATACTTCAGAGCTGCAGTAACCAAAATAGCAAGGTACTGGCATAAAAACAGACACATTAGCCCAATGGAACAGACTAGAGAACCCAGAAGTAAGTTTAGACATCCACAGTGAACGTATCTTTTACAAAGATGCCAAGAATGTGTAGTAGGGAAAGGACAGTCTCTTCAGTAAATGGTGCTGGAAAAACTGGATATCCACATGCAGAAGAATGAAATTAGACCCTTATCTCTTACTGTATACAAAAATCAAAATGGATTAAAGGCCTAAATCTATGACCTAAAACTATGAAACTACTAAAAGAAAACATTGGAGAAATGTTTCAAGAAATTGGTCAGGGCAAGGATGTCTTAAGTAATTTAAAAGCAAAATTAGACAAATGGGATCACATCAAGCTAAACAGCTTCTGCATAACAAAGGCAACAATCAACCAAGAGAAAACAACCCATGGGATGACAGAAAATATTTGCAAACTACCCATGTGACAAGGGACTAATAACTTGAATATTTAAGGAGCTCTAACAACTCAACAGGAAAAAATAGAACAATCTGATTAAAAAGTGGGCAAAGAATTTGAATAGAAATTTCTTAAAAGAAGACATACAAATGACTAACAAGTATATGAGAAAACACTCAGTATCACTAGTCATCAGAGAAATACAAATCAAAACTACAATGAGATATCATCTCACCCCAGTTAAAATGGCTTTTATTTAAAAAATATGCAATAACAAATGCTGGAGAAAACGTGAAGAAAGGGGAACCCCCATACATTATTGGTGGGATTGTAAATTAGTGCAACCACTATGGAGAATAATATAGCAGTTCCTCAAAAAACTGAAATAGAACTACTATGGGATCCAGCAATCCCACGCTAGGGATGTATCCAAAGGAGGGCAGAGCAGTTTATCAAAAAAGTACCTGCATTCCATGTTTATTTCAGCACTCTTTACAATAGCCAAGATTTGGGATCAACCTAACTGTCCATTAACAGATGACTGGATAAAGAAATTGTGATACAGCAGCTTGGTGCCTGTAGTTCAGTGCCTAGGGTGCCAGCCACATACACTGGAACTGGTGGGTTCAAATCCAGCCCGGGCCTGCCAAACAATGGCAACTACAACCAAAAAATAGCCTAGTGTTGTGGCAGGCGCCTGTAGTCCCAGCTACTTGGGAGGCTGAGGCAAGAGAATCACTTAAGCTTAAGAGTTGAGGTTGCTGTGAGCTGTGATACCACAGCACTCTACCCAGGGTGACAGCTTGAGACTCTGTCTCAAAAAAAAAAAGAAAGAAAGAAATTGTGACACATATACACAATGGAATACTATATAGCCATAAAAAGAATAAAATCCTGCCATTTGAAATGATATGTATGGAACTGAAGAACATTATGTTAGGTGAATAAGACCAACAGAGAAAGAGAAATCTCACATATTATCACTCATATGTGGGAGTTAAATATTTAAAAAAAAAATTGATCTTATGGAGTCAGAAAGTAGAATGAAGGTTGCCAGAGGCGGGGAAGGATAGTGAGGAAGGGAGATAAAGTAGAGTTGGTTAATGGGTAAATAATATAGTTGGATAGAATGAACAATATTTGCTAACACAACAAAGTGACTAGAATAAGTTGGAATATGCTTTAAAATAACTAAAAGAGAGGAATTGAAATATTTCTAAACACAAAGAAATGATAAACCGCTGAGGTGATGGCTACTCCAATTACCCTGATTTGATTTATTCACATTGTGTGCCAGTAAACATCATGTGTACTGTACATCTATTACGTCCCCCTAATAATTAAAATTTAGAAAAAAAGTCTTGCAGAGGTTGACTGAGGTCACGGAAGCCTTCAGAATTTCCTCAGCATATGGATACTAAAGCTCCTCCTGGACCTGGACGTGCCACCAGAAATTAAAGTGGAACCAAACAGGCAAGATATGATGGGTACATGGATTGACAGGCCGTTGGTTTGCCCAGGCTTAAGGGAGTTCCTGGGGTGCAGGCTTTTTAGTGCCAAAAGTAGGAGCTCCCAGGCACATGGACACCAGCCAGTTACCCCATCCACGTTCTGAGCTGCCTCAGAGCCTATGAGTTTGGACGGCGTACAGGGTCATGCTAGCTTCAGATGATCATCCCCACTCTCTCTTAGCCCTGCTCCTTTGCTCTTCTGTCATGGACCCTGTCACGGACTCCATACAGAATGCTGATCACCCTTCTCAGGATGACTGCAGAGTCAGGAGTACCATCTCCAGGGGTG